TTATGATCAAGAGATGAAACTTTAAATAAACTTTAAATTAACTTAAATGTCTTACTTTATATTATCTCAGGTCCACCTTATTGTAACTCACAAGTTACACTTTATGCTTCTTCGAAGCCTTAAATCTGCCAATGCAGATATCCTTCATCTAATGAAACCACCATAACCTGCAGGTGTGAATACATCTCCAAAACAATCATGCATCAGTTTCATTAGACCGATAACAATACAAACAATGTTTGTAACCAATAGACACAACTGAAAATACCAAATAGGCACATGTCCAAGTAAAATATCCCAAAACTTCATAAAACAAATTAATTCAACACTTGTGAGCAAGATGAATTAATATGTTTTTGACACTGATCTATGCACCATACCAGTTACTTTCATAGTGATTTCCAACACCTGCGGGCAAGATGGAAATCCTCACAATTGAGCCAGTGCACAAATCATGCCATGCCATTTAATATGTAATTTGATAACAACTTGATATCTGATATATTTTATCAGATTATTGACTAGCACACGAAAAATGTGACTTAATGAATCCAACTGGAGATTAAAATGAATACAAGGATTATATTCATACCTTATAGGTCATCTGCAACTGTAAGGCATTACTAACACGAAACTCAAACTCCCACTGATCTGCAACATCGTTACTTAATTTGCAAATCAATACTTAAATCATACTTTTGAAAATATGCCTTTGGGAGTAGCCTTACTTAGTCAATGAATGCATATTACCTCAATGAAAGGTACAACTAAGCTTGAAAGCATTCACCACTGTTACACAAAACTTGCATCCAACAACCATCTTATATGTATTAATAAGTCCACATTTATGCTAAGTCCTTATGAGCCTCAAAACAAATGATCAACCAAAAAATCCAAATGATTGCAAATAACAGGAAAAACGTACGCATATACCAAGTATCCATTCGTGCAACTTAAACATAGTTTATCCATGATCTCGTTTGTCACCACTCGCGGCTCACGAGGCAGAAAACAGTATGATTCCTATAGTTACAGAGGCTTAGTTTCTTCATTGGTCATCTTTCGACACTCAAATCGAATCCAATCCCACATATACTCTGATGTTCGTGTTTTCGGATGTCTCGTTTTCTTCTCAGAGTCTTTAATAACTTTTTGGTGTCTCCGTCTATCACTACGTCGATGTTACAAATTTACTATGGTTGAACACATAAATTCGTAAAGTACCATTCATGTTGCCCACCGTATCATAACATGAGGGTTAGTGCACGCGGTGTGACAAGTTTCTCCGGAATCTCAATCTAATTTGTCAAAAGTTGCTGTGGAAACCAGATACAAGTTTATACATTGGTCGCTTGCTATATCCATACGCTTTGTTATAGTGGTACTTTTTAGATTCTAATTTCCTCATAACATAGGGTGCCTAAAAAGGACACCAACAAGATTCCCATCTTTGCAAAGGTCGGGGGGGGGGGGGGGGGGGGGAGACGTCTATCGTACGCAATCTTACTTTTGCTTTGTAAAGAGATTGTTTCCACGACTCGAATTTGTAAATTTTGGAAGGTAGTAATTCACTGATTCTTATTGAATGAATAATCTCTTTACAATACTACTATATGTAGTCATATATTTACAATCAATTCCTACAAACTAGCTACTAATAGACAGCTCATAATACAAAATAGGAATATAATTAATTACAATATATGGCAAGTATCTTGATGATGATCCTTGACTTTCTCAACACTCCCCCTCAAGTTGGTGAGTGAATGTTTCGAACTCCCAACTTGCCTAGCAAAGAATGAAATCTTTCCTTCCCAAGAGCTTTAGTGAACAAATCAGCAAGTTGTGATATGGAAGGAACAAATCCCGTCACAATTTTTCCTTCCATAATCTTATCTCGAACAAAATGACAATCAATCTCAATGTGCCTTGTTCGCTCGTGAAATACCGGGTTTGCCGCAATATGAAGAGCGGCTTGATTGTCGCATAATAAGGTAGTCGGCCCTTGGTCTTGAACTTGAAGATCTCGAAAAAGGCTTTGGAGCCATGCAAGCTCACAACATGCTGCTGCCATGGATCTATATTCTGCTTCAGCAGAAGATAAGGATACAGTTTTCTGTCGTTTGCTCTTCCATGAAATAAGGCTATTTCCAAGGAAAACGCAATAACCAGTAGTGGAACGTCGAGTGGTAGGACATCCTGCCCAATCGGAATCACAATATGCCTTTAACTTCAATGAATTTTGAGATGGAAACATCATGCCTTGCCCTGGTGTGCCTTTCAAATACTTCAAGATACGTAAAGCAGCTTCATAATGAGACTTTTGAGGTGATTGCATGAATCTACTCAATAAATGAACTGAATATGTAATATCCGGTCGGGTTATAGTGAGATATATCAACCGACCAATCAATCTTCTGTACTTGACTGGATCATCCAATGCATGCCCATCATCAGGGAGTAATTTGAGATTTTGTTCCATAGGAAAGCTTGCAGGCCGTGATCCTAGAAAACCAACATCATTTAGGATATCCAATAAATACTTTCTTTGTGAAATGAAAATACCTTGTTTCGATCGTGCCACCTCAATTCCCAAAAAATATTTCAAATTACCAAGATCTTTGATACGAAACTTGGTATTCAAAAAAGATTTGAGATCATCAATTGCTTTCAAGTCATTCCCCGTTATCAGTATGTCATCCACATAGATGAGAAGCACAGTAAATGACTTCCTTCTTCTCTTAGTGAAAAGTGAGTAGTCTGCTTTAGATTGAACATAACCAGCTGATCGAATAGCTTGTGAGAACTTGAAAAACCATTGCCGAGAAGCTTGCTTCAACCCATAAATTGACTTATGAAGGCGACACACCAAATTCTCCCCCTGTCGCCGAAGACCAGGCGGGGGAAGCATGTAGATTTCCTCCATGAGATCACCATGAAGGAATGCGTTATGGACATCAAGTTGATGAAGTGACCAGGAGTGAGTAGCAGCAAGAGCAAGTAAGCAGCGGAAAGTGACAAGTTTAGCAGTGGGAGAAAAGGTATCATGATAGTCAATACCTTCCAATTGGGTGTAACCTTTAGCAACCAACCGAGCTTTGTAACGCTCAATACTCCCATCAGATTTTCTTTTGATTTTATAAACCCACCGACAACCAATGGGTACCTTCCCGGAAGGGAGAGGAGAAAGTGTCCAAGTGTCCAAGTGTCATTGGCCTGAAGAGCCTGGAGTTCCTCGTCCATGGCCTTGCACCAATGGGGATGTTTGGCAGCTTCTGTATAACTGTTAGGCTCCAAAACAGTAGACAATTGTGCAATGAAGGATTGATACTTAGGAGAGAGCCCTTGATAGGACAAATAATTAGAAAGAGGATACCTTGTACGAGGACCGGAAGGCGAGGAGTTGGCGGGGGGCAACGGAATAGTCGGACAAACATAATCATGGAGCTTGGTCGGCGGAACTCGGATGCGACTGGAATGGCGCAAAGGAGCAGGGGATGCAGCGGCAGGCTGGGCAGATGGTGGACACGGGTCCAGAGAGAGAGCAGGCCCACCAGGAATAACAGAGACTTGGTCAAGCCCGTCAGTAGCAGAGGTGGGTAGTTTGGGGACTGGTGCTGGGCCAGGAGAAAGGCCCGGGTCGGTAGGGGGGTGGTCTATGTGGGAAGGGATGGGGACGGTAACATGTGGAGATGGAAGTGGGCCTGGGTCGGCATGGGGATCAGTATAGGGGTCGGTGTGTGGGACAGTGTTTGGGTCAGTTTGTGGGGACGGTAATATGACCAAATAATTTCTCATAAGGCGTAAGACCCGATAAGAGATGGGTGGGAATGCGATTAATGAGGTAAATGGATGTGAGAATGCATTCATCCCAAAAATGCAAGGGAATATGTGACTGAAAATGCAAAGCTCGTGCAGTTTGAAGAATATGTCTATGCTTTCGCTCCACAACCCCATTTTGTTGAGGGGTGGAAACACAAGAGCGTTGAAAAAGTATGCCATGATCATTAAAGAAAGGAAGCATAGAAACAAATTCACCGCCATTGTCAGTTCTAATGGTTTTAATTTTGTGGTGAAATTGTGTTTCGGCATAGGCAATGAAAGATTTAAGCAAAGATTGAGTGTCTGATTTATGACGCATGAGGTAAACCCAAGTGCAACGAGTAAAATCATCAACAATAGTAAGGAAATAACGAGCACCCGAACGGGATGCTACTCTATGGGGACCCCAAATATCACAATGTATAAGTTCAAAAGCATGCTTAGTATTAATATGACTTAATCCAAAAGACAATCGAGTTTGTTTTGCCAAAGGGCAAATGTCACAAGGTTTATTTTCAGAAAGGGAAATGTCAGGAAAATGTTTAGCTAAAAGTTGGAGTCTCAAGGGTGAAGGATGACCAAGTCGTTGGTGCCACGTGACGGAAAAAACCTTGGGAGGTGTAGGTGATGTTCGCCCTTTGGAGTCCACCAAATAATAAAGTCCATTATGTTGTCGCCCCCAACCAATCATCGTCCTCGTCTCCAGGTCCTGTAAAATACAAAAATCAGGATAAAAGGTTACTGAGCATCCCAATGATCGAGTGATCCGACTAACGGAAATTAAGTTGATAAAAAAAGAAGCTATGCCAAGCACATTATAAAGAGATATTTGGGAACCAAAATTGTAGGTGCCAATAGAATTGATGGGAACCCGAGTCCCATTAGGTAATGCCACAGGTGGTAGACGAGGATTGGAGGTTGCATTAGTCAATGGGAGACTAGATATGTGGTCAGTGGCACCACTATCTATAACCCATTGGAAAGAAGAAGGCCCACCTGCTAGATTAGCCTTGGAATCAAGACCCATCTTTTGACTCATCATGGATAAGAGTTGCTGAAATTGGTCGGTGGTGAGGTTGGGCATGGACGGTACAGCGGGAGAGGCCACGTTGTTGACAGCTGGTTTGCCGCTCGGTGCAGCGGTGGAGCGCCCACCAGAACCACTCGAACTGTTTGACTTACCATGAAGACGATGTCCCGGTGGATAGCCATGGAGCTTCCAACACGTTTCAATAACGTGATGATCCTTATCGCAGTATGAACAATGCAGTGGCTTCCTCTCGGATGATCTTCCTTTTCCATGGTTGCCATTGTTTCCACGGTTCGTTTGAACAACCATAGCTGCAGGTTCAACGAGGCCAGGCCCAACAGCCATGCCTCTCTGCTTCTCTTCTTGTGTCAACATGGAATAGACAGATCGAATCGAAGGCAATGGTTGAATAAGTAAGATCTGCCCACGAATCGCAGAATACGAGTCGTCTAACCCCATTAAAATCTGCAAAACCTTGGTCCTCTCCACCTGTTCGTTATTAGATTGAACAGCCCCGCAAGAACACGGCTTTAAAGTTTGGTAGGAATCTATCTCATCCCACAAACCTTTAAGCTTGGTGAAATACACGTTGATAGGTTGTTGACTCTGTGTAAGACGTGCAAGTTCACGTTGGATTTCAAAGAGACGAGACACGTTTTGTTGAGAAAAACGTTCTCGAAGATCATCCCAAACATCTTTGGCTGTCGTCATGTACACCACACTGGTGGCCAGGTCGCTGGAAAGTGTATTGATAATCCACATAAGGATCATGTCGTTGCACCGTTGCCAAAGAGCAGATTCTGTGGGCTTTGTCTTCGCAGATGGATGTTCAACACTTCCATCAACAAACCCTAATTTGTTCTTTGCACTGAGTGCAATTGACATGGAACGACACCAAGTGCCATAATTTTCACCGGTAAGTTTGGTTGAAACGAGCATCATTCCCGGGTGATCAGAATGATGAACGAAGAAAGGACTAGCAGGATCACTGGATGGTTCAAGTTTAGCCATTGCTGACGTTGAATCCTCCACCATAGTCCAAGAAAAAAAGGAACTAAGAACCCAGGAAGGGCTCTGATACCATGTAAATTTTGGAAGGTAGTAATTCACTGATTCTTATTGAATGAATAATCTCTTTACAATACTACTATATGTAGTCATATATTTACAATCAATTCCTACAAACTAGCTACTAATAGACAGCTCATAATACAAAATAGGAATATAATTAATTACAATATATGGCAAGTATCTTGATGATGATCCTTGACTTTCTCAACAGAATTCGTGACCTTTCTGTCACAAATGAGGAAATTTTTCGTTGCGCCAAGACTCGTCCTCATAGAGTACCTAAAATGATCCCTTAAAAAAGTACCTAAAGTGATTGAGAATATGATCCCAAAATTTGACAAAGTAGTTTTCTCTTTAGATAAAAAAAGACGGAACAATAGGGTAAAGATGTCTGAAAAATGACTAGGTATCTAGGATTCTTACTCCAACCATGACTCCTTTATAGAATGCATATAAATACCACCTTCTATGTTCTTTAGAAAATCGCTCTCAATTTTCAAAACTTGATCACGTATTCATATTACTTGATGGAAAAGAATGGAAATAATTCTGCTGCATCAGATTCAAAGGGAGTGTATGAGAAAATCTTCAGCGCAATCGCAGTTTCTCCTTCATTTCAAGCAATTCGCCAAGCCAAGCATTTTCCACAAGAACCTAAAGCTGCCTCCACTGCTAGAAGCGGGGATGCTCCACAACCACAACCCAAGAAGTCAGCTGAATCAGCACCGGTAGTGATTCAGATTCCAATCACGTCTGCAAAACAGAACTCTCAAGTTAAGGAGGAAAAGCATGAAGCACAGAACTCTCAAGTTAGGAATATTGAAGTTCAAGGAGGATTGGATATTAACGACATATTTTCGGAGTATATTCGTCGTACGAAGAAGAAGTTCAATTCGACGCAATCGAATCCTGGTAGTTGAAAGAATGCTTCCTTTAAGCGCGAGTAGGTTTCCCAATTGTGTGTGCATGATGCATGCATTAGTTTTAGGATTTTGCTAGTTTCACGACTTAAGTTAGCATTTCTCTTAATTTTAATGTCCAACAAACTTACTTTGTTTAAGTTGTCCTCTCTATGTGCTCTCTTTATCTATCTTTAAATCTGATCACATATGTAATGCTTGAGTTGGTGTCGTTTGCCATTGAATAAGATTGCAAGTTGCTGTTTCTGTTTGATTACTCCGCACGTTTGCTTTGGCTATCAATACGAATTGTAGTCGGAAAGCGATGATGAAGCTTGTAGCTCAAATAATTAAAAGTATTTACTCGCTAATATTGCACCCAAAGTCCTGCATTAGATTCTTTCCCTCCTCCCAAATATTATTTGTAAATAAGAGAGAAAAAAAGTAGGATTTTAGAGGGAAAAAGTCTTAACAAGAATCCAAGAATCCAAAACCATATAAAAACACCAAGTAAAACTATAAAAAATGAGAAAACTTGTGTAGAGGTGGCCCAATCATGCCGTTTGTAGGGCACCTCTCACAAAAAAAGAGATTTTTTTCAGTGCATCGAAAACATGACCTGATACACTAAATATCATAATATTAGTAGGAAGGTGTTTTTTATTTTTACAAGTGTCTGTTCACTTATATTATGATAGTTGGTGTATCAGCCATGTTCTTAATACACTAACAAATCTTTCCAACTAAAGCATGAAACTCTCATGTGTTTTTTGCTTGTTAATCACTTGGTTTTAATTAGTGATTATTCTGTTTGTTTTCTTTTTCTTTTGACTTATTCCCAGATGGTCACTGCCATTTTCACAAAGAATGATTCCTGTGTCATCCACTATAATTCAAGCAAACTATGTCACCAAGACCACAACATAAGCATCTTACTTTTCCCATTTTTTATTTCTTTATTTATTCTTTCAAAGCAACTTACAATTGGATTGTATTTTTGTTGTTTGTTTTTATTTGCACATTTACATTTGCATTTATTTGTATTAGTCACTAATTTTAGTTAGCAACAATACTAGGAGGTGGAATCCAACCTCTAAGTGTTGGGATGAATGCTCTTAAACAATTGGAATGCAACTGTCTTGTCCGTCTAAGTTTATAAAGGAGAATTATACTTGAATTTCTAAACCAACATGTAATTCCAAACCCAAATCTCTAAATCCAACTTGGGAATTGGAATTTGTCTAAAGAAATCAATTGAATAGATCCTACTTGGGACATGGAACAAGGGCGGCACCGCAACTTAGTTTAATGTTACACTTACCACCTAATTATACAATCATTTATATTATTTCTTTAATAGTGATAATGTCTGTCAACACATACAAATAATAGTACAATTATATGTTAAGAGTATCATTTTTACTTTTAAATTTAGATGACATGTGTTTGAAAACAGCAAAACTTTAATTAAAACAACGAGTGATAAGTAAAATAAAAACTCGCAAAACTTTAATTAAAAATAAAGATCACGTGCATATTTGATACACATCTTGGATCTAGTTTTTTAAACTCAAAAACCATTTTAGAATTTGTATCAAGAAATTGGATTTTGCTAAGGGGTGTGCTATCCACACATCCTATTTTACTTCTTACACACCCTTATTAATTTATATCCGTTGATTTTCTACAATTCATTATATGCGACAACCAAAAATTAAAGAATGTATGAAAAGTAAAATATGATGTGTGAATATCACACCCTTTTTGCTAAGGCCCTGGGCACTTGAGCTTCCGATTCTAAATGATTTTTGAGTTTCAAAACTGGATCCAAGATGGATTGGAAACAGGCCCGGTCGAATTTGGTACCTTTTTCAAAAAGCGTTTTTCATTTTGAGAAACGGACAGGAAACATTTTCCACGGTTGAAAAAACGTAGCGCAAAGACCTATCTGCGGAAACGCATTTTCAGAAACAGCCGTTTCCGTTTCGAAGAATTTTCTGAAACCGTTTTTTCTACGTCTGATCGACGCGAGCCATCTGCTAGCTGCTCCCTCAGCTCTCAGCTAGTTCTCTCTCATCTGTCTTCTCCTCAGCTACCTGGGTCATCCTCCTCCAAGGTAATTTTATTCTACTTTTTTTGTGATCTTCTCAGCGATTGTCTGCTGGTTTTTAATTTGTGCTCTGAAATTCGTGAAATTTATTGTGTTTTCGTAATGGGTTTGCTGAAATTTCTTCGTTCATCTGGAAAATCTATGCAGTAAATTTCTTGGTTCGTAATGGGTATCCTGTTTTCTGAGATGAATTCTCAGTAAACTTAATTAGTACATTTGGGTCTAAAAATGAAATACGGATAATATTCAATTAATGTTTGTATACATTTCTTCTTTGATCTTAATTTTTAATCATATTTGAGGTAGAAATAAACTTTTTCATGTATTTAGGGAATTCTTTTTTATACATATAAATGTATAAAGGGTCGGAGGTCAGAGAACTCTAGGGCAGGCCTTGGTCAAATCCAATGCTTATCGATTATGGATACAAATCCGATCCTTCTACAAGTCTAGTTGACTGCTAGTCTTCATTGGCATCACTTAACAACCAATTAGACCAAACCCAACCCTGGGTAAATGTTATTTTTTAGGTTTTATTCCCCTCCCCCGTCAACCCAACCCAACCCAACCCAACCCAACCCATGCTAAATGAGTTGGCTAAAAGCTAAAAACCAAATAAAAGCCAAATTCCTCCCATGATTTAACCCAGAAAATGGTGTAGGCACCACTAGCAAGATCCCACCCACATGGGCATGTATTCTAGGATTTATTGAATCCAACAGCTGAGATCAAATATAATCAAATCTAACAGTAAAAAAAAAAAATCTAACGGTCCAAATTCAAATTCAATGCTTATCGATTATTAAAAAATAGCAATTTGTGCATAAGACCATCTCCAATAGTTGAGCTAAAATCCAAATATTTTAGCCCGAAAAATTTAGCTTTTAGACCAGAAGCAGCTTTTTTGTTCCAACCGTTTTGGCCTAAAATTTTAGCCCGGGATTATTAAAGAATTAATTTAGGCGATTTTTTTGTTAAATTAAATTAAAAAAATAAATAAATATGAAGACTATCTTAAATTAATTTTATGAACATTTTAATCTAAAAAAATTTAAATTCCTATAAATATTAAAAAATTTAAATTCCGATTTCTGAGCTAAATTTTGGGAGGAATCTGGCCTTGGATTAGCATTTAGCATTTAGCCCAAAATTTCCCCTTGGGTTGGATTGAGTTTGGGGGGAAATTTTAGGCGGTAATTTGACTTTTAGTCCACCATTGGATTTAAAACTTTCCTAGAAGTTATATGACATAAGCACGCTGACCCTATGAGAAAAGGATAAGAAAAAGGAAGTAGTTTTTCCTTCCCTTGTATATATAACTTGATTCTTACATCTAGATGGAATACAAACGGAAGGAATATCATAACATGTAGGTAGGATAGCGCACGCGGTATGACGAATTTCTCCGGAATCTCAAACTAAATTGTCAAAAGTTGTTGTGGGAACCAGATACAAATTTATACATTAGTCGCTTGCTATATGCATATGCTTTGTTATAGTGGTACTTTTTAGATTCTAATTTCCTCATAATATAGGGTGCCTAAAGTAAAAAGTGCACCAACAAGACTCCCATCTTTGCAAAGGTCGGGGAGGGGAGACGTCTATCGTACGCTGTCTTACTTTTGTTTTGTAAAGAGTCTGTTTCCACAACTTAAACCCGTGACCTTTCAATCACAAATGAGCAAATTTTTCGTTGCTCCAAGGCTTACCCTCATAGAGTACCCAAAATGATCCCTTAAAAAAAGAATACCTAAAGTGATTTAGAATATGATCCCAAAATTTGACAAAGTACTTCTCTTTAGATAAAAAAACGACGGAACAATAGGGTAAAGATCTCTGAAAAATGGCTAGCTATCTGGGATTCTTACCCCAACCATGACTGCTTTATAGAATGCATATAAATACCCCCTTCTATCTTCTTTAGAAAATCA